ATTATATTATATTATATTATATTATATTTTCCAGGCCATCCAGGATGCTCTGTCATCTCACTAGCATCAATTTAATCCCATCTGCAGGCTGGGCCCAGTGGCTCACGCCTGTAATCCCAGCACTTTGGGAGGCCTAGGTGGGCAGATCACCTGAGGTCAGGAGTTCTAGACCAGCCTGGCCCACATGATGAAACCCCGTCTCTATTAAAACTACAAAAATTAGCCGGGCATGGTGGCACACACCTGCAATCCCAGCACTTTGGGAGGCCAAAGTGGGTGGATCACAAGGTCAAGAGTTCAAGACCGGCCTGGCCAAGATGGTGAAACCCTGTCCACTAAAAATGCAAAAATTAGTCTGGTGTGGTGATGGGCGCCTGTAATCCCAGCTACTTGGGAGGCCGAAGCAGAGAATTGCTTGAACCTGGGAGGTGAAGGTTGCCATGAGCTGAGATTGCACCACTGCACCCCAGCCTGGGCAACAGAGTGAGACTCTGTCTCAAAAAATAAAAATAAAAAATAAATAAATAAAGGTGGGATCTGGCTATGTTGCCCAGGCTGCTCTCAAACTCCTGCACTCAAATGATCCTCCAACCCGGGCCTCCCAAAGTGCTGGGATTCCAGGTGTGAGCCACCACGCGATCTCAGCTCACTGCAACCTCTGCCTCCTGGGTTCAAGCAATTCTCCTGTCTCAGCCTCCTGAGTAGCTGGGATTACAGGCACGTGCCACCACACGCAGCTAATTTTTGTGCTTTTAGTAGAAATGGGGTTTCACCTGGTCAGGCTGGTCTCAAACTGCTGACCTCAGGTGATCCACCCACCTCAGCCTCGCAGAGCGCTGGGATTATAGGCGTGAGCCATGGTGCCTGGCTTACCGGCCTCAACTTTCTTTCATGGGGTTGTAATTTACTATTAGAAGATCTTTGGGGAGGATGCCCCTGTGTCTATGGTTTTAGCAGCACCCACAGCTTCATGGATCTGGCTGTGGGATAGTCTAGGGTGTGGCTCCCCAAAAGGGCTGGGGACGCTGCAGCTGTCCTTCTGTCACGGTCACTGCGGGCCCACCATATATGGCAAACCACCATCACTAGAAGTGTCAAAATAGCTGCAGCGGAAAACCCAGCCACCTAATGTGCTTCTCACCAGAAGCTGCTGCTGACCACAGGTGCTTCGCCGAGGTCTGCCTTCTCTTCGTTCGCGAGGGAAATGTCCCTGCATGAGAGGGACATTTAAGACGCTCTAGCACCCCATGGAGACTTTCTCCTCTTCCTCTCTCTGCAAATCAATGATATTTAGTGTCAGTCCTCCCAAGGAACCCCAGGGCTCCTGGCAGGAGGCCTCACCCCGGAAGAAATAATAAGAGGAACCAAAAGGGTCTTGAGCCCAGAGAAGGGCGGACTTAAGGAGCTGGTGTTGGGTTTCCAAATCGTCAAGGGCTGGCCTGGGGTGCAGGGAGCTCCCCCAACTGGGTGGGGACATAGACACTGAGCTGTGCCTGACTCTCGGGGATAGATTTGAGCCTGCGGTTTATCTGAATCAGAGCCACAGAAGGGGTAACTTCAGGAGGGGGTGAGCTCTCTGTCCTGGGAGGCATCCAATAATTGGCCACTTTGCTTTTTTTTTTTTTTGAGACGGAGACTTGCTCTGTTTCCTTGGCTGGAGTGCAGTGGCGCTATCTCGGCTCACTGCAACCTTCAGCTCCCAGGTTTAAGCGATTCTCCTTCCTCAGCCTCCTGAGTAGCTGGGATTACAGGTGTGCACCACCATGCCCGGCTAACTTTTGTATTTTTATTTTTATTTTTATTTTTTTTGAGATGGAGTCTCACTCCCGTCACGCAGGCTGGAGTGCTGTGACGCGATCTCGGCTCGCTGCAACTTCCGTCTCCCGGGTTGGAGTGATTCTCTTTCCTCAGCCTCCTGAGTAGCTGGGATTACAGGTGCCCGCCACCACGCCCAGCTAATTTTTGTATTTTTAGTAGAGTCGGGGTTTCACCATGTTGGCCAGGCTGGTCTGGAACTCCTGACCTCAGGTGATCCACCTGCCTCGGTCTCCCAAAGTGCTGGGATTACAGGTGTGAGCCACTGAGCCTGGTGCAAAGAATTGGCCACTTTGAATCACAAAGACTCTAGGTCTCTTTCAGGCCTCAGAAGTGGCCGCACCTGTTTCTAATGCCTCCTGCCGAGGAGCTGGGGGACTCACCCCTCCCTTATGCCAGCCTGAGTGGGTAGACTGGACTCCCAGATTCTCCCAGTCCTGAACTCCCCACCCTCCACCTCTCATCCTTGGTGACCCCCTGTCAACTCGATTTCAGAAGTTCTCTGATCTGCAGGTCACCCTCCTGTTGCAGGCTGGTGACAGAGCAGTCCCCTTTCTGGTGTCCTGGCTGCCTCCAGATCTTCACCTTTCCCTGCATAGCTAAGGGATGAAAATGTGATGGTGGCCCTCCCTCACTCTAAATCCTTCCATGGCTCCCCACTGCCTGCAGGCGAGAGCCTAAAATGCTCAGCCTGGCATCCAGGGCTCTTCATATTTGGCCTCCAACTGATCTCCCAGGTCCCATTTTTTCTTCTCCTCTCACCAGGGAACGAATATTCTAGTGAGTCCGAACTGCAGGAGTTTCCATGCCTTTGTGCTGGCTGTTACCTCTCCCCTGGAATGCCCTTCCCCCGGTGTCCAGCTGGCCTCTCCAAGCTCCCCCTCCCATGTGCAACTCACGTGGCAGCATTTGGGGAAAGCCTTCCTCGAGGACATCCCGACACTTCCTAGAGCAAGGTCCCCCTGAAAGGGGCCCCTTGCTAGAGGCACTAGTTCTCTTGTCTCACTGTGTGATGGGTGCGAACCTGGCCGTCCCTCCTTGGTCTTGTCTCACTGTGTGATGTGTGTGAACCTGGCCGTCTCTCCTTGGTCTTGGTGACTGAGCCCATTAGCTTGCCCGAGAAAGAAGCCAGACTGGAGGAAACACAGCCAAGAAACAAGGAGAGACACTGAATCCCAAGGGAAGGACTGGTTCCATATCCTTGGAACAAGCGATGCCTAGAATTCACGTGACACCTAGTTTTAGCAGCCAGTGTTTCTTTTTTGATTTCTTCCCGAGGGGGTTCCTGCCACTTACAAACAAAGGG